ATTAGTTGCCAAATAATTGTAAATTCATATGTTTTTAATAAATTAGGATATAAAGTAAAGAAGTGACAACATGAAGGAAAAAAAAAAAAGAGAAATATATCAGGAAGATTTTAAAAAGAACCAAAGAGAATGACCACAATGAAAGACAGCATCTTTGAAATTAGCAAGTCAATGGATGAATTAAATACATATTAAACACAGCTTAAAAGAGAATTAACATGGACCTTTAATTTATTCAGAATCCATCCCATTGAATTAAAGAGAAAAATTTTAAAGCAAAATAAGGAGACTTGGAGGGTAGAATGAGAAATAGTAACCTAAGGTTAAAGGATGTTTCAGAAGGAAAAAAGGAAAGAGAGAAAATTTTCAGAGAGTTGGTAAAAATTTTTCAAAATGCGATGAACCCTCAGACTCAGGAAATGTAAGAAGCAAAATAAATAAAGCTAAGCCCACACTAGACAGACCTTAGTGAAATTGTACGACATCAAAAACTAAAAGAAATTTAAAAGCAAACAAACTTTTTAAAAAAGACTGGTTGGTTGCAAATATTGAAAATTCAACTGACAGCAGATCTGTAGGCAACAACAGAAGTCAGAAGACAATGGAATAATATTTTCATGCTAAGAGAAAATAACTGTCAACATAAAACTCTATATTGAGCTAAACAACCATTTAAAAGTGAAGTTATATAAAGACTTTAAGATGAAAAATATTACAGGTTTTATTACTAATAATTTCTCTTTTAAAAAATTTTTAAAAGTTTGTAGTAGGTAGAATTCTACCATGGTCCCACCATACTCACCCTGGTTGTAAACATACCTCCTACTAGTCATTAAGTTAAACAATAATCTAGGTACTGCTGTGAAGACATTTTGCTGATGTATTGGCCTTTCAAAATCAGTTCATCTTAAAATAGGGGAATTATCACATGAGTCCTTTAAATCTAGGCGTAGAGGTTAGAGATAGAGGAAGTCAGAGAAAGTCGAAGTATGTGAGGGTATTGAGAAGGTCACATAGCAAGGGACTGTGGACAGCTTTAAGGAGAGAACAGTGACCCTTGGCAAGCATCTACCAATAGAATTAAAATATAAGTCCTATAACCACAAAGAACTGAATTCTGCCAATATATTGAATGGTCTTAGAAGCAGATTCTTTCCTAGAGCCTCCAGAAAATAGTGTGGTGCCTTAATTTCAACTTTGTGAGACTGAACACAGGCCCAAGCTTTGGCCTATGTCTGGACTCCTAATCTACAAAAACAGAGATAACAGATGTATGTTGTTTCAAACCACTAAGTTTGCAGTAATCTGTTACACTGCCATGAAATAATAATCTGCATAGTTTAAGAAGATGGAAACTTGAGATCTAAAAAGCAGTGAGCAACTAAACAAGCACTGACTGTATTAAGAAATACAACAAAAGTAATAATGGAGCCATACAAAGATGTTGGAAATAAAACATTAGTAAAAACTATATTTGAAACATAAAGATGATCAGAGTCAAAAGTTAGAACTTGTTTTGGAAGAGGATAAAGGTATTGATTAATTTCAGATTATGTAAAATCAGGTATTCATGTTAAAAATACAAGGCAGCCACTAAAAATCATAAATAGAATATATAACTTTTATTTCCACTGCAGTCTAGGTAATTTCTTAGATTTAGTTTTCATATCATACATTCTCTCCTTAGCTGAGCCTAATTGCTTTTTATCCTTATTGAAGTTTATTTTGCTTTGTATTGCACCTTGTCTTTGTGTTATGTAATGTACTTACCAAATAAAGATGAAGAGTGATTTATTATTACTGTATTATAATATTTAATGATGAAAATTATAGATATGGAGAAAATTAAAAATAAATCAATTACCGTAATTCACCACTATTAGCATTACTATATCTTTGTGTTGGCATGCTTATATATATAAATATATAACATATAAATATATAATATATAAATGATATATATATATAATATATACATATAATATAATAAGGGTGTGTGTGTGTGTATATATATATATATATATACATATTATATATATATATAATATAGCTATAGAAGTCATACTTTTGTGAGGTAGTATAGTGTAATAGTTAAAAACATAAACTTTGAAATCTGAGAGACTTGAATTCAAGTCCACTTCACCATTTATAGGCTATGTGTACTTGAGTAAATTATTTAGCCTTCTGAGCCTCAATTTCTTTATCTGTTGTATGCACAGGATGATGACAGTACTTTCCTCATAGAGTGGTCATTAACTATTGAACTTCAGTGACTATTTTTAATTCCTAAAGTGTCCTTTTTCAAACAATCTTGTTCTTATAGTGCCTTGTAATTTCATAAAAATCCTTATTTCCTTTTCTGTCTCTTCAATCACTTTAAATACACATTTTTAGGGTTTTTTGGGTAGTTCTGACTTTTCAGATTCTTAGGCTGCAAAATCCTTTTGTTGTAATCTCTGTCCTCTGATGGATTGTTTCTTTGTGTAGTCCACATTTTTTTTTTCATGAGTAGATTTTAGGTCCTGTATATAGGTTCTAAATCTTCCTGGTCCATGGCTTCATGAGCTCACACGAATATCATTATGGCTATCGTTCACTCTTTTTTTAGAGACAGAGAGAGCACATGCTCTAGTGGGGGAAGGGCAGAGAGAGAGGAAGACAGAGAATCCAAAGCAGGTTCAGTGTTGACAGCACAAAGCCTGATGTGGGGCTGAAACCCACAAACCATGAGGTCATGACCTGAGCTGAAGTTGGATACTCAACTGATTGAGCCACCCAGGTGTCCCTATTGTTCACTCTTAATTCTAGCATATGTATGTTCTTTTTCTTACTTGCTTGACTGTATATTTGAGTTATTTCATACTGAATTTCTATGTGTTTGTGTTATCAAAACTGTAGGAATTCATTTCCATTAGTAAAATTTTAGACATGGCTACCAAAATTGAGAAAAACTTGAGAGTGGACACTTAGCTTCCTAGCCATCTCAGATGATATCATGTAAGCACCAATTGTTTCTATCAAAGTGAAAGGCTGGCCTTAATTCATATGCTAACTCATCAGCTCCCCCTTCCTGAATCAAAAGCATACATGCCACTATATTAGTTAAGCAATGCATTTTCATTGGTTATAAGAGCTGTGGGGAATGATGAGGAAGGGACACAAGATGTTTGCGGAGGGCAGGAGAGAAAGTATAGAGCAGGAGGTGACTGTTGTAATAGTCTGAGTTCTGAGTAAATCAAGAGCTTGTGAGTAAATGTGCCTTTGAGCTTTAACATATGACATATTTCCCTGGACCTTCCCCAGAGAGCAATACTTAGTGAGCTGCTAAGAGAAATGATCAAAAATGTTAGAATTACTTTGTGACAACATGCAACTTTATAAGATACTTTTCTATGAGAAATGTGTACTAGTGTAATAACCGTGTTACATTATGGACTAAAGAACAACACAATGTTGACCAATGACAAAGCTTTCTATAATGTAAAAACAAAAAAATATATAATCTACATGTACTAGGTAGTTGTAACATTACAATAAAGACAGATTACTAAAAAATATCTTAAATCATGAATCTGAAAACTATAGTGCAATTCAAACAGACATTTCAGGCTTAGCCCAAGCCTGAATTAGTCCTTAATGGTGGCATTTTGTTCTTCAGTTTGCAAACATGTTTTGTAGCATCATTAGGGCATACACATTTCAAGTTAGAAGCCCTTATCTGGAGCATAAAAATTACACTGAAGACTTTAGACAATGAATCCCAGACATCCCTTTTTTCATAGGCAACATTAACATTAGATGCAATTACATAGAATCTAATTTACTCTCTAGCAAGACTGGGAAATGATCTGGCTTGGTGGATAATTTGGCTGTTATCAGGCATACTACACTTAGTTTTATTCCCCTAAAGGGCCTTACGGGGAGGTCAAATAGGAACAAAACAGATTTTTTTACCACTGTGCTAAAACATCACTTTTTCCTCCTCTCCTGGTCTGCCAAGATTCAAACCCTAACTAATACTGGCACATTACTTAACCACTCCATGTCTGTTTCCTCATCTTAAAGTGTGAGTATTACCTATGTCATGTTCTGATTGTGAGGATTACATGATTTAAATAATAATTTGCTGTTATTATCTTAATACTATGATATTATCACTTTTATTATTTTAGATCCTCTGGGAAAAAATTAAAATGATAATGATGATAACCAAAATTATTTTACAGAAGACTTTCTATTAGATGTATCTATTGGGTACTTATACTGGGCCAGGCAATTTATATTGATTATATCTTATTTCCCTAACAAAACTGCAGAGGAAGCACTTTGATCCCCACTTTACAAATGATGAAGTTGTGGTTCAGAGAAGTTAAGGAACTTAATTATGAGCACACAGCCAGCATATTGATTTGAAAGAATTCCTTCTGTCACCAAAAGACCTATGCTCTTTCTACTATTTCTCAGATCCAAGGACAACACAAACTGAATGGGGAAGGGATCCTGGCCACTTCTATTTCCCTGAATGGAAAGAAAGTCTAGTTAGTGTGGAGCAGGGGACCTATATATAGCTATGTCTTAGACAGGGGACTGGAAGGAGTCTCAGCTCTTCCACTGACAGGCTGTGGTTTTTGTGAGTCATCTCACCTCTGTGATCCTCATTTCCTCATTGGTGGAAAGGGGAACTTGGACAAGACTAGTGTGCCTATCCATTTAACTTCTCTGAGTCTCGGTTTCTTTGTCTACAAAACAGGATTATAAGCTTGGCTGCCCTGGGAAATATGGGAGATAAAAGTGATTTTGAAAGTGTGAAGTTCTAGTTACCTATTGCTGCAGAAAAACCCACCAAAAACAATGACTTCAAGCAATAACCATGAATTATTTTGATAACGAAGCTGGATTTTGATAAGACCCAGCTAGACAATTTTTCCTCAGGGTCTGTCATGGAGTTGAAGTCTGACAGTGACCAGGCCTTCGCATACCTCTAAAGTGTCTTCACTTACACTGCCTGGGCTGGAATGATGCAAACATCTGGTTAGTGGAGGTTATGGGGCTGTTTTTTTCTTTCCATATGTCATCACTCCATATAGACTCTCCACAAGGCAGCCTCGGGATAGCCAGACTTCCTACATGGTGGCTGGAGCTCCAACAGTTAGTATCCTATGAAAAATTAGCAGATGAGGCATAGTCATTTCTAATCTAAACCCAGAAGTTACATAGCATCACTTCTGCTGCTCTGTATTCCTCAAGGCAGTTACCAAGTCACCCTCTGCTTCGTAGGAGGGGACACAGACTCCATCTCTTCACAGAAAGAGTGTTAAAGAATTACAGACATCTTTTAAAACCACCACAAATTGCTATAAAGGATAGGTATTGTTATTACTAATTTTATCCAGCTGCAGCTCATTCTCTTGGGGGATTATTAACAGCAAATGTAAAACATTTCATATTGAGTGCATTCTAAAGCTGCCTTCTCCAAATGTGAAATTGTTGTGTTCTCAGAAAATATCCACCAACTCTTCTACTAGCCAAAGTAAAACATAACCTGGAAAGAAAATTCTTGTTAAAATACTACTAGTGTGATGCTATTTCAAGCCAAGTACATTTTTTAAAAAACCCATCTGCTTAAAACAGATTATTCTCTATTTTTTTCTGTCTGTTAGCCTGGATAATAAAGAAGTGACTATAATAAGCATATTGGGGCATTTGGTTTTTGCAAATGTTAGCAGTACTTTGATCTATGCTAAGTGATGTAGGCCTTTTAGCAAGGAGGTATGCAGCCTGTAGAAGAAGAAAGATGGGATGCATGATTTCTCCTGAGCTAACAGAGTCTTAGAAGGATGGAAGTTCCATCACTCATTAAAGACGAAGTCCTGCTGAGAAGTCTAAATGACTAACTCAGGCTTTCAAGGAGTTATCTGTTTATCCAATACTGAAATCCAAGTCTTTTAACTCATCAGTGTTCATTCTACTATTGTACACGGTTTTTCAAGATCACTACAATGCTTGCATGGTTTTCTACTTGCGTATAAAATGCATTGAGAAGCTGAATAGCTCTGAATAATGGTTTCATAATAAATGCTGTGCTGATTAAGCCCATCCTATCAAGTGGACATACCTTTTCAATAATGGTAAGTTCTTTTATGTTAGAAGTAAATAAATCAGTAAATACCCCCCAATTTCCTTCATTCACTGCTATAATTGCCTTTATCCACAATTCATAAATTTATCCCAACCCTTCTTGAATCTACAGATGACTCCTAAAAATGTGGGGGTTAAGGGCACTAACTGCCTACATAGGCAAAAATCTGCATATAACTTTCAATTTCCCCAAAACTTAATGATTAATAGCTATTATTGACCAGAAGCCTTGCCAATAACATAAGCTATCAACTGACACATATTTTGCATGTTATATGCACTGTATACTATATTTTAAAGAAAATTGAGCTAGAGAAAAGAAAATGTCATTAAGAAGATCATAAAGACGCAGCAAAGGCGGTCATAAGAGGAAAGTATATAGCAATCCAGGCCTTCCTAAAGAAGGAAGAAAGATGTCAGATACACAAACTAACCTTATGCCTTAAGGAGCTGGAAAAAGAACAGCAAATAAAACACAAAACGAGCAGAAGACAAGAAATAATAAAGATTAGAACAGAAATCAATGCTATCAAAACCAAAAAAACAGTAGAACCAATCAATGAAACCAGAAGCTGGTTCTTTGAAAGAATTAACAAAATTGATAAACCACTAGTCAGTCTGATCAAAAAGAAAAAGCAAAGGACCCAAATAAATAAAATCAAGAATGAAAGAGGAGAGATCACAACCAACACAGCAGAAATAAAAACAATAATAAGAGAATATTATGAGCAATTATATGCCAATCAAATGGGCAATATGGAAGAAATGGACAAATTCCTAGAAATATATACACTACCAAAACTGAAACAGGAAGAAATAAAAAATTTGAACAGACCCATAACCAGTAAGGAAATCGAATTAGTAATCAAAAATCTCCCAAAAAACAAGAGTCCAGGGCCAGATGGCTTTCCAGGGGAATTCTACCAAACATTTAAGGAAGAGTTAACACCTATTCTCTTGAAGCAGTTCCAAAAAATAGAAATGGAAGAAAAACTTCCAAACTCTTTCTATGAAGCCAGCATTACCTTAATTCCAAAACCAGACAGAGATCCCATTAAAAAGGAGAACTATAGACCAATTTCCCTGATGAACATGGATGCAAAAATCCTCAAGATATTAGCCAACTGGCTCCAACAATACATTAAAAAAATTATTCAGCATGACCAAGTGGGATTTATACCTGGGATGCAGGGCTGGTTCAATATCCGCAGAACAATTAACACGATTCATCACATCAATAAAAGAAAGGACAAGAACCATATGATCCTCTCAACAGATGCAGAGAAAGAATTTGACAAAATACAGCATCCTTTCTTGATAAAAACTCTGTAGAAAGTAGGCATAGAAGGAGCATACCTCAATATCATAAAAGCCATATATGAACGACCCAACAGTAATATCATCCTCAATGGGGAAAAACTGAGAGCTTTCCCCCTAAGGGCAGGAAGAAGAGAGGGATGTCCACTCTCACCACTGTTATCCAACATAGTATTGGAAGTCTTAGCCTCTGCAATCAGACAACACAAAAAATAAAAGGTATCCAAATCAGCCAGGAGGAGGTCAAACTTTCACTCTTTGCAGATGACATGATACTCTATATGGAAAACCCAAAAGATTCCACCAAAATACTGCTAGAATTGATTCATGAATTCAGCAAAGTTGCAGGATATAAAATCAACGCACAGAAATCGGTTGCATTCCTATACAACAACAATGAAGCGACAGAGAGAGAAATCAAGGAATAGATCCCATTTACAGTTGCACAAAAAACCATAAAATACCTAGGAATAAATCTAATCAAAGAGGTGAAAAATCTATATGCTGAAAACTATAGAAAGCTTATGAAAGAAATTGAAGAAGGCACAAAAAAAATGGAAAAAGATTCCATGCTCCTGGATAGGAAGAATAAATATTGTTAAAATGTCGACACTACCCAAAACAATGTACATATTCAATGCAATCCCTATCAAAATAACACCAGCACTCTTCACAGAGCTAGAACAAATAATCTTAAAACTTGTATGGAACCAGAAAAGACCCTGAATAGCCAAAGCGATCTTGAAAAAGAAAATCAAAGCAGAGGCATCACAATCCCGGACTTCAAGCTATACTACAAAGCTGTAATCATCAGGACAGTATGGTACTGGCACAAGAACAGACAGATCAATGGAACAGAACAGAGAACCCAGAAATGGACCCACAAACGTATGGCCAACTAATCTTTGACAAAGCAGGAAAGAATATCCAATGGAATAAAGACAGTCTCTTCAGCAGGTGGTGCTGAGAAAACCAAACAGCAACATGCAGAAGAATGAACCTGGACCACCTTCTTACACCATACACAAAAATAAACTCAAAATGGATGAAAGACCTAAATGTAAGACAGGAAGCCATCAAAATCCTCGAGGAGAAAGCAGGCAAAAACCTCTTTACTCTTGGCCAGAGCAACTTCTTTCTCAACACGTCTCCAGAGGCAAGGGAAACAAAAGCAAAAATGAACTACTGGGACCTCATCAAAATAAAAAGCTTTTGCACAGTGAAGGAAACAATCAGCAAAACTAAAAGGCAACCGACAGAATGGGAGAAGATATTTGCAAATAACATATCAGATAAAGGGGTAGTATCCAAAATCTATAAAGAACTTATCAAACTCCACACCCAAAAAACAAATAATCCAGTGAAGAAATGGGCAAAAGACACGAATAGACACTTCTCCAAAGAAGACATCCAGATGGCCAACCCACAGATGAAAAAATGCTCAACATCACTCATCATCAGGGAAATACAAATCAAAACCACAATGAGATACCACCTTACACCTGTCAGAATGGATAACATTAACAACTCAGGCAACACAGACATACACACACACACACACACACACACACACACAAACACACACAACGGAGTATTACTCGGCAATCAAAAAGAATGAAATCTTGCCATTTGCAACTACGTGGATGGAACTGGAGGATATTATGCTAAGTGAAATTAGTCAGCCAGAGAAAGACAAAAATCATATGACTTCACTCATATGAGGACTTTAAGAGACAAAACGGATGAACATAAGGGAAGGGAAACAAAAATAATATAAAAACAGGGAGGGGGACAAAACAGAAGAGACTCATAAATATGGAGAACAAACTGAGAGTTATGGAAGGGGTTGTGGGAGGGTGGATGGGCTAAATGGGTAAGGGGCACTAAAATGTGGGATGGGCTAAATGGGTAAGTATACTAAAGAGTCTACTCCTGAAGTCATTTTTGCACTATATGCTAACCAATTTGGAAGTAAGTTTTTAAAAATAAAAAATAAAATTAAAAAAAAAAGATCATAAGGAAGGGAAAATACATTGGCAGTACTGTATGTATTGAAAAAAATCCACAAAAAAGTGAGCTCAGGCAGTTCAAATCCATGTTGTTGAGGGGTCAATGGTATTTATTTTTTAAGTTTGTATAAATTCTGGGACAATCATCAATTGTAGAACTCCATGTTCTTTAACTTAAAATGAACTATTTATAATACAAGCACACCTATAAAGTTTCTGATGGCTTACTCAGCTTCTCTCTATATAATAAAAAGGCATACATTTTTAAATTAGATGTTCTATGTCCTTCTTGAAAATTTTAATTATTTTCTCAATTCATTCCAGCTACAAGTTTTCTTTTTACATACATCCTGTAGAGAGGTATATTTTCATGTTCTAGTTTTGTGTATACTGTGATGCATATAGAGACAGTACTACACTCCATGGGTATCTCACGTAGCCCAAACATTGTCTTACAATCCTACTCATCATAGTGCCATGTTCTATACACTATTAAGTGACTAGAATAGGCCCATAATATGAAGCCCCTTTGAGACTTTTGGATCAGTAATATAAAGTAGCTAATATCTTCACTCTTTGATACCCTTGTCAAATAACAGTAAAGTAATTTTTTAAAAATATAGGAGAATAATACTACAAGGACAGAGGAATGGTACAAAAGCTGTGCACAGCTGAAACTTGCCAATAAAATTT